AGGCAGGAGGACCACTGCAAGTTCTAGGCCACCCTGAATTGCATGGGGGGTGAGGGGGAATGATCCAGTCCATTCTGACAACATGGATGAATGTAGGAGGCATTACAACAAGTGAAATAAGCCAGGCATAAGGAGACAAATATTGCATGATTTTACTTGCATGTGGAGTGTAAAAAACTTTGAACTCACAGGAATGGAGAGTAAAATCATGGTTACCAAAATTTTAGTTGGAGGAATAAGCTCAAGAGATGTACTGTATATCACGGTGACTACAGTTAACAACACTATCTTGTGTATAGAAAACTGCTAAGGAGAAGATATTAAATATTCTTACCACAAAAAAGTGAGGTAATGCACATGTTAGTCATTCCACAATGTATGCATATATCAAAGCATCATGCTATTCCCCATAAATACAATTTTTACTTACCAATTAAAAAAAAAAGTGAAACAAAACAAAGACCTTCCCACAAACAAAATAAGCACAATTACCATTTCCATCTCCTGATCATTAAACATTTGCCTGATAGAGATTTAACAAAAAAAAATTTTGATAGTATGACATCTTTACAGTCATTTTAAGAACCTTGATAAGTTTGCATTTGTATTTCTCACACTGCTGAAACAGTTGGGGATTAATTAATGAAACATAAATTGTCCCACTGTGTTTTAAGAAGGTTGAATAATACACACATGAAAACATATACAACAACATACAGACACATTTTGCTAAAAATATATAATCACTTGATCTCACCAACACAGAGGAGGTGAGCCACTCCCAGTGCACAAGAGGAGGCTTCACAGAGGAGGTGAGCTGTGCGGGCACCAGCAGCACCCCCCACACACACTTTGAAATGAGAAGACACATAAACAAGTTTCAAAACCAGACGTCCAGATCACCTAAAACAACCACAAAGGGAAACAAGATGGAACACTGTGATACTCAACCACCTGGACTCCCTGAACTGGCAACGAAGGATCTGGAAAAAATGAAATCAGAAATAATTTCTCAGATAACAACAGAGATTGTGCCCATAGTGCAAGACATGATCAATAAATCTAAAGAGACACTCAGGAACACGATGGAATCTCAACATAGGAAACAAATGGAATCCATAAAACAGATGCAAACAGATTTCCAGGAGATTAAAAACTCCACTGAAAGTCTATGCAGCAGAATGAACCAATGCGAGAACAGAATTTCAGATATAGAAGATAAGATTGCAATTAGTGACCAGGAAAAGAAAAATTTCTTTAAAATTGTAAGGGACCTTGAGAAATTAATCCAGCAGCTGCTAGATGATGCAAAGAAGAATAACATAAGACTGACTGGAGTCAATGAAGAAACAAGAGAGAGTGCAGATGACATAAAATTGTTCACAGAAGTGATGGCAGAAAACTTCTCAAGCAGGGGAGAAGAACTTGACATATAGATAAGTGAGGCATACAGGATTCCAACTACTGTTGATCAAAAAAAAAATCTACACATAGGCATATAATAGTTATGATGCCAGAAACCCAAGAGAAGAACAAAATTCTACAAGCAGTTAGAGAAAAGAAACAAGTCACATACAAAGGAAAGCCCATCAGAATCACAGCAGACTTCTCAACACAAAACCACAGGCAAGAAGAATGTAGTGATGTATCTCAAGCCCTAAAGGAAAACAGCCTCTAACCCAGATTGATGTACCCTGCAAAATTATCTTTCAAAATTGATGGAGAAATAAGATACTTTCACGACAAAGAGCACCTTAGGAACTTCATGAATACCAAACCAGCACTCCAAAAAATTTTATAGACAATATTCTAGGAAAAGACAACGAGGATCACAACCCCATGAAGCCCACCAGAATGAATCCATTGGGCACAACAGGGAATTCAACACAAAGGAGGAGGATCCAATAGACAGAAAAAGTCATGGTAAGTCAGTATGTATGAGTTATACAAGTCAATATAAGTGATAAGTCAATATGTATGAGTTAAAACCATCAATGTTAATGGTCTCAATTCACCAATCAAAAGAAACAGACTGGCAGAATGGGTCAAGAAGCAAAATCCAACAATATGCTGCATACAAGAAATACACTTAATTCAAAAAGAAACTCATAGTCTGAAAGTTAAAGGGTGGAAAACTATACTCCACGCAACAGGAACCTGAAAAAAAAAAAGCAGAAGTAGCTATCCTCTTTGCAGATCAAGTGGATTTCAAATGAAAATCTGAAACACTCTGGTCCAAGGAATTTCAGATAAGGGACAGTCAAACTTGTACGTACAAATCTATTGTGAGCATGTGTTTTCATTCCTCTCAAGTAAAAACTTCAGAACAGGACTGTTGGTTCTTAACAGTAATACAAGAAATTTCTATATTGTTTTCCAACATGGTTTTATCATTTTACATTCACATTAGCAATATTAGAAAGTTCTAACTGGTTCACACCTAAGCTGACATTTGTTCTTGTAAAACTTTTAACTTCATCTCCCTAATGAGTATATAATTCAATCTTGTTATTGTATTGATTAGTATTTTTCTGATTCTAGTGTTGCACACCTTTCCTTGTGCTGTAGTGGCTATTTATCATCTTCTAATGTCTACTTTTTAATTGGGTTGTCTATTAATGAGCTGTAAGAGTTCTTTATATATTCTGGTCATAGGTTATATGCATTATAAATATGGTCCGTTGAAGGACTACTTTTCATTTTCTTAACGATGTCATTTAAAGTTCTAAATTTTGATGGAATCTCATTTATCAATTGTTTTCTTTTATACATCATGTTTTTTATATCCTAGAAAATTCTTGCCTACCCTAAATTCATAAACATGTTCCCCTATAATTTCTTCTTAAAGTTTTAGTCTTTCATATTTAGGTTCATAGATCCTTTCAAGTTATTCTTATGTATGGACATAAAGGATTGAAGTTAATTTTTTACATATGGATACCAGGTGTTCTAGTGCCATTTGCTGAAAACGCTATCTTTTCCTCCGTTCTTGAATTGAGTTTATGTTCTATAAAACGTTAATGTTAAATAATCTTTCAAAACTCAGTGGACCATATATGTGTGGTTCTATTTCTAGATTCTCTGTTTTACTCAAATGATCTATATGTCTTTCCTTATGCCAACACTGCCTTGATTACTATAGCTTTAGAGGAAGTGTTAAAATTAGGTACTAAATGTCTTCCAACACTGTTTTCTTTTTCTTTTTACTTTTCTAGGTCCTTTGTACTCCTACATAACTTTTAAACTTCAATATCCAATTCTTCATTTATAGCAAGTATACACAGACCTGAATTTTTATATACACCTTGTGTTTTCTAATCCTGCTAAATTCAGATACAAGTTCTAGGGGCTCCTAGAGATTTCTTAGTATTTTCTCTGTAGATGATCATTTCATCTACATATAAAGATTTTACTTCTACCTTACCAATCCTATGCTAATTGTGTCTTTTTATTGCCAGACTATTTTGGTTTGGGCTTATGGTTCAAAGTTTAATGGACAGGTGAAGAGTAGGCATATCTGCCCTTATTCCCCACCTTAGGGGGAAAGCATTGTATCTTCTCCATTCATATAAGGTGTTTTTGCTGGAATATGGAGTACATGTCTTTAATCTGTTGAGAAGGTTCTGTTCTACTTCTAGTCTCCTGATAGCTTTTACCATGAACAGCTGTAGAATTTAGTCCAATACTTTTTCTCCAACTACTGACAGGATCATATGGCTTTTTCCTTTCCTCTGTTAAAATGATGACTTTTGGGGGGTGGATCTTCCAACGCTGAACCAATACTGCCATCTCTATAATAAGACCACTTTCTACATACTGCCAGATCTGACTTCTAATAGTTTATTTTGTTAAACAAATTTTTAATCTATGTTCATATTTTTTCTTCTATTATGCTTATCCAGTTTTAGGATTAGCACAATGTTGATTTCCTAAAATGAGGGGAGAAGTGTTCCTTTTTTCTGCTTTGAATGTTTGATATAATTTATCACTTACAATGTATATGAGCCTTAAAAAATGTATATGAGCCTGTTCTTGTCATATAGGTAGGTTTTCAAGCTAGGAATATACTTTCTTTAATAGGGGCTACTCAAATTTTATATTTCCTCCAGAGTCAGTTTCATTAATTTGTCTTCCAACGTATTTCTTAGAAGTTGTCAAATTCATTTTTAAAAGATTTTTAAAATATGCTTTCTATATCCTTTTAAATTCTGTAAAATCTGTGGTAATGTCTTCTGGATCCTGATATTGCAATTTTAAAATGTGTAATTGATATTGTGTAATAGGAAGAAAAGGTCTAAAAGGGAAGTGGGAGGGGTAGGAGAAAGGGAAGAAGGAAAAAGAAAAAATATGAGAAAAGGGAAAAAATGGAAACAAAGTCTTTGCAAATAGGGAATGGTGGAGGGGGTGAAGGGAGGGCAGGGGAAGGGGAAAAAAATAGGAACCAACATACTCATGTAAAGGTACAAGATCCCAATGATGAATGTAACTGTACTGTTTACCTAAAATGTACCAATAAACTTAATGGAAAAAATATATATAACCACCTTTGATCCCCGGTACAAAAAAGATATATATATGTATATAATCATCTTAAAAGGAAAAAGGTGAGGCAATGATTCCCCCTTTTATCCTTGCCCCAGCAAAATCTGCGCATTAATGACTCAGCTAAAATAAAAGTCTGTAAATGGGCTGAGTCAAAAGACCAGGTTACTGACTGTAATTTTGGTCAATTCACTTGTCCTTTCTGAGGCTTCCAGTAGCTGAATATCAAGCTCTCAGGGTTTGTTGTAGGAATTAGATATTACATGACACAATGTCTTTGGAGGTGTGTTACAAATTTTCAACCTCTGTGAAAATACCATTCTTCTTTTAAAACAATCAAATGAAGCATATAGAATGTTCAGAAGTTTATCAACTCATGTTTATATGATTTTCTTGGGAAGATCAAATACATTTAAAAGGAGTAAGGAAGACATTGTTTCCATAACATTAGGCAATTATAATATACCACAGAAAAAATTTTAATTTATATAGAACAAGGCAATAGAAACATTATCAGCTCAGAAGAAGTTAATGTCCCATCAATCCTTCTTTTCTATAATAGCGACTGCTTTTGCTAAGTCTATACCGACAAATCAAAAGTTGTCTACTTAAAAATGTAAGCTATACACTTTAAATCTTTAATTAGACCTCTGTGTTTAACCTTCAGGTAACATACAGTTTTAGGTAAGCATAGTTTCACATGATTTTTAAAATACTCTGTGGTAAAATAATGACAATTTAATTTCTTCTTGCCTGTATCCTCAGCTCCTCCAAGAGTTCCTGTATTTTTAAGTAATGTCAATGTCAATGGATGATGTAGGAGAAAAAAAGGCCAGAACTGTTTTCAACAAAACCTAACACTCTAACACTTAATGTAAACAAGATATGTATTTCCCCCCAAGCACTCAGTACAGGGACAGCTTCATAAGTCATGCCAAACAGTGAAGCACCATAAAGTGTGGCAACATGGTTCAGAATTTTCAAGTATCGTTGAAAAAAAAATAGTCCAGCTGTTTCATGTTCTAACTTGGATATATTTATGTTCAAGAATGTGAATTTTAAAATAGATACCACTTAGTTTAATTCTATCAGAAATATATTTTAAATCTTTAAAGCCTGTTTTTAAACACTCATATACTTTTATTTCATAAAGCATGATTCTCTCATGTTGTTTTCAACCTTAATTCCTAGAAAATAGAATTCAATATTTAACAATAACTCTTATCATAGAAGACTATATATATATGTATATATATTGTATATATATATCAATCACGTAGAGCTTTAATCAAAACTAGCTTTATAAATTCAGTATGTGCAAACACCTATCTAATATGATACTACAGGAATGGTATGAAGTTATTTTAAGTGTGTGAAAGGTAAATTCCCCAAAAAACATTCTTCTTAAAGAGGAATGATAAAGGTAAAGAAATAATACAAATAGTACTAATTAAAATTTTTATAATTACAAATGCTGCCAAATTTAGAATGACAGTTAAATTTTACTTTAACAATAAATGTTTAAAGGAATGTACAAGTAATGCTTTTTAAATCACTTGACTACACTAATATTTGTGCTTTTTATTTTTACATTTGTACCATCTTTTTACTGAAAATTATAGCTCCCACTTACATAGCTTACCCATTATCGAAAGTGACTTTTTTCACATTTTCAAGTTACTTTAATAAGTTCACCAGGGTGAAAGTTTTTTCAGAGTTCTTAAACTTATTAATTATGCAATTTATTAATTTGATTGGACTTTTTACAGTGATTAAATACTTATAGATTTAAATACATAATTTTAATAACATTTAAAATGTAAGCTTCCTTTTATTTTACATTATCCCTAAAAGCATTTGAATCTTTGTAAATAGTAAATTATTAACAAATAGTGAGAAATAAATTCAGTAATTCATGTGAACACAACAGGTTTTCTTTTTCTTTAAAAAAATTCTTATAATGAGATTATAAAAATTAGGAAATGACATCTGGTTATCATTAAGCATGTAACTATTTTACAGTATGTGCTGACTTCCCCAAATCACACCAGTTTAAAAAAGGGTAGAATCCCAAAACACAAAATAACTAAAGATTGTAATGTTCGTACCTAATACTTTCCAAACTGGCTTTAGTAGAAAAGTCACTACTTCACCACATTCCATGTCATGGTAATTTCCTGAAAAGGAAAGTCTTCCACTCACTGGTAACACGTACATCATAAATATACCCTCCTCCTCCTGATCTATAATTGGAGTTCTGATAATCACTCTTGTTATTCACCTGTCATCTTCTTTATTTGATGAAGAAGTGCATCTTTTTCCAAGTGATACTCTGCAAGAGCCATTTTAGCCTTAGCTAGTTCCTGTTTAAGAGATTCATTCTCTTCCATGAGCTGAAAAGATAAATTTGGAAAATAAAAATATTGAATCATTTCCGGGAAACACATTCTATTTTATGTAACATCCAAAGTGTGACAGTGAGATAGTAAAAACACCCCATGCCAGTGAGGGTTCACTTAAATTGCAAATTGCTTCAAGAAGCTATTTGGAAATACTTGTCATACATTAAAAATGTTCTTAACTTTTGATCCAGGGATTCCAAATGCTAACTCCTAACCTGCAATTTTAATAGTGATTCTGTTTCACTGTCATACCTCTCCATGGCTGACCTCTCACTTTTTTCTAAGCCCCTCTCTCTGGTTTTTCTCTATGGTCTTTCACACTTGTCTTTTCAACCAACGTCCTTTTCATCTTAAGAACCCTTGAATTTTCAGGTTCTATCAGACTGCGTAGTTTGTCTTCTCTTGTCATTTGAGTCACTCTCTTGGATAATCTTAGCTACTTCTGTGGCTCAACTACTCTATCACAGAAATCATGATCTTGCACAAACCTTTCTCCTAAGCTCCAGGCTCATTCTGAATGTCCCATCAGACTTTTTCTTCTGCATGGTCTTCCCTCCCCTTTAAAACATAAATAAAGTATTTTTTCCTCTTAAAGCCATTAATAAGCCATTCCCTAACCCTTAAGTAGAAGTATATAATAAAGGTAAAGAAAGAAGGGAATGAATTAATATGAGAAAATGAAAAAATGGAAACAAAGTCTTTGTAAATAGGGAGGGATGGAGGGGTTGAAGGGAGGGCAGGGGAAGGGGGAAAAAACAAGAACCAAGATAGATTATGTAAAGGTACAAATTTCCAATGATGAATGTCATCACATTGTATACCTAAAATGTACCAATAAAATTAATTAAAAAATAAATAAATAAAGCTAAAGATTTTGTATTTGACACATTAAAATACACATTTCTAATGTCAAAGAGTTCTCAGACTTTTTGTAGCCCCAACTCAAGATTTCCTGCCTTATAGATTAAGTTAGGTACAGTAGTAGTCTATACCTCCCCAACCCCATAGTACATCACTTAGCACGGTACACTGTGACTCAACTGCACATGCTTCTCTTTGCTGCTAGACTTTGAGTTATTTAGTACACAGAGACAGTATACTGTTCACTTATATATTTCTCATTCAGAAATGTCATCCAATAATTTCTTGATGAACAGATGAATGAACTCATTCGGTGGTTCTATCAGAGTGAATTAAAATTCTGGTGAACATTTTGTTTATAATGACAAAAAAAAAACCCAGAAGCAACTTGAATGTTAACAAATGTCAAGAGGAAGGTTCAGAAATGACAATATAGCCACATGCATATTACTCAGCCATTAAAATTAAATACAAAGCAAATGTAGCAATATGAAAAACTGTTACAATGTTAAGTAAAAAACTATTATTTTAATATTGATTATATTGATGAATAATTATTAATATCTATATGAATATTAATTCTGAAAAAATGGAAAAGATCTGGAGAATTTTAAAAAATCACAATATTGACAGCATTGCGGGAAGGCAGAAGAAATTAGTGTTTTTTAACTTGCTCAACACCATAAGCAAAGACAGCATCTAGCACAGTGCTCCGGTACAGCAGGGCGTTCAATATAATTAAATAAGCAAACACAACGTTTTAATTATTAGTATTTTTTCTTTTTCTTTCTTTTTTTTGGTACCAGGGATCGAACTCCCGACCTTGTGCTTGCGAGGCAGGCAGCGGCACCACTGAGCTAATCAGGGCCCTAATGATTAGTATCCTAACGTTTAATTTAGTTGCTGAAGTGGAACCCGGATTAGGTTTCGCGATACCTGTTCCCTCGAAACGTCAGAGGAGCACTCAGGCAAGTGAACTGATGGAGCCGGCCACAGGGCCTCTGGGCTCGTCTGAGTTGCTCGCTCAACACCGTGCTGTTTCTTCCGTTCACACTGCCCACTGGTCGACAGCGCGGAATCACTTCGGACATTTTCTCTCGAATGATTTTCAGCGTTAAGCACATGCGAATCTGAACAAATGAATACAATGCTCAGATAAAATTTCAAAATACTTGAGAAGTCTTAAAAAAATAAAGTTGTATAAAAAACAAATTTTAAAATAAGTTTCTATCCTTTTTAGTATGAGGACTGTATTATGAGACAGAAACAATTTTGAAAAATCAATAAAATCAAGGTGGGTGTGGTGGTGCACACCTGTAATCTTGGCACTCAGGAGGTTGAGGTAAGAGGATCACCATGAGTTTGAGCCCACCCTGAGCTACATAGTAAGTTTAAGGCCAGCCTGAGCTACATAGCAAAATGCTGTCTCAAAAAATTTAAAAAATAAAAATTAAAAATCAATAACACCAAAAGATCATTCTTTCAAAAGATTACCAAAATTGTTAAACTTTCAGTTTAGACTAAGAAAAAAAAGCTGTTAGAATCAGAAAAGAGGATACATTACTGCCAACCTTAGATAGAAAAATGGTAATGGAAACAAAGGGATGACTCTATGCTGATAAAATAAACTCCTAGGAAGACAGAAACTACCCAAACATACCTCAAAAACTTGTGAACTGATAGAGGGCTGGCAAGGAGATTTGATTAATAATAATAAATATAAAAATAAAATAATAGTAATAAAACTAGCCACAAAAAAAGACCCGGGTCCAGACAGCTTCGTTGCTGAATTCTTTCAAACATTTAGAAAAGAATACCAAAACTGGGCCAGGGATTTAGCACAGTGGTTCCAGCGCCTGCCTTGCAAGCACAAGGTCCTGAGTTTGATCCCCAGTACCAAAAAATTAAAAAAACAAAAAATAAAAGAAAGAACACCAAATCTTCCAAAAACAGAAAAGCAGCACTTCCAAACTCCTTCCGTGAAGCCAGTGCTACCCTGACTCCAAAGCCAAAGCAACCACAACAAAATTCCAATCAATATGCTTATGAATGGGGACATAAAGATCCTTAAAAAATATTAGCAAAGGAATCCACTAACGTATAAAAATAGTTACATACCAAGGCCATGTTGGATCTATCCCAGGTATGCAAGGTTGACTTAACACCAAAAAAATCAGTTAATGTAATATTGTACATTATTTAAAACTCCACACTGTCATTTAAATAAATGCAAAAAAACTGTTTGATAAAATCCAATACCTTTTCATGGTAAAATACCAACAAACAAAAAAAAAATAAGAGAATTTCCTCAATCTGATAAAAAGCATCTATCACAGTTACTATCATAAACATAGTTATTATATTAAATATCACATTTAATGTGGATACTTTCCCTTTTTGCCAAAAATAAAAAACAAGACAAGGATGTTTGCTCTCACTGGGCATAGTGGCACATGGTTATAATTTTAGGACTAAGGAGGCTGAGACAAGAAGATTGCTATGAGTCTGAAGTCAGCCTGGGCCCCCATAGTGAGTTCAAGGGCAGTCTGAACTACATAAGGAGATCCTGTCTCCAAAAAGAAAAAATAATGATGTCTTCTCTCATCATTTCAACATTCTCTTAGAGATTCCAGCTCTGGCTATTTCAACTAGACAAGAAAAAGAAATAAAAGGTACCCAGATTAGAAAGAAAGAAGCAAAACTATCTCTATTCATAGATGAAGTGATCTTGTATACAGAAAAAAGAACTAAAGATCAACTAGAAAAAACTACTAGAACTAATGGATGAGTTTAGGGTTGCTGGATACAAAATCAATATACAAAAATAAATTCTATTTCTTTACTCTTGTAGTGAAGAAACATAATGAAATTGTGAAAATAATTTAATTAAAAATATCTTTAAAAAGAATAGGCAAAAGCCCCTGGGTTTGATTTCCAGCACTGCCCCCCCCAAAAAGAACTCAGGAATAGATTTAACAAGAGTGCACAAGTTTTATGGTAAAAAGAACATCAATGAAAGAAATTCATGTGATCTAAATAGATGGAAAAATCCTCATATTTCCATGTCTATGGATTGGAAGACTTGATATTGATAGCAATACTCCCTCAAATGATTAATGCTTTAATGCAACCTCTATTGGAATGGGGGCTGCTGCTTTGTAGAAATTATCGACCTGATTCTCAAATTCATATGGAATGGCAAAGGACTATGAATAGTCAAAATAATCTTGAAAACATAAGGCTAAATCTTCATGATCTCAAATTTGGCAATAGATTTCAAAGCAAAAAAAGCAACAAAAGAGCCAAGTACAGGAGCATATGCCTATAATTCCAGCACTTCGGAGCCATGCAAGTTTGAGTCCCTCTTGGGCAACTTAGCAAGACCCTCTCTTAAAAAATGTAAATAAAAAGTGGGTTAGGAATGCAGCTCAGTGCAAAGCCTGTAGATTTGATCTCCAGTATTGGAAGGAGGAAGGAAGGAAGGAAGGAAGGAAGGAAGGAAGGAAGGATTAAACTAGACTTCATTAAAATTAAAAACTAGTATTTATTTGCTATTTCTACTTCTTTGTCTGAGAAATGTCTGTTCATTTCAGATGCCCATTTTTGGATTGGGTTTTTAAATTTGGGAGGTCTGATCTTTTTAAGTTCTTTATAGATTTGAGATAGTAGACCTTTGTCTGAGGAAGAGCAGGTGAAGATTTTTTCCCACATTGTGGGTTGTCTCTTCACACTGCTGGTGGTTTCTCTTGCTGTGCAGAAGCCTTTTAATAAGAAGAGATCCCACTTGCTGATTCGAGAGATGCAAATGAAAACAACGCTGAGATTCCACTTCACTCCAGAAAGAATGGCTGCTATCATGAAATCAACCAATAACAAATGCTGGCGGGGCTGTGGGGAAAGAGGAACCCTGCTCCACTGCTGGTGGGAGTGTAGACTGGTGCAACCACTGTGGAAATCAGTATGGAGATACCTCAAAGAACTAGGACTGGAAGTCCCATTTGACCCTGCTATTCCACTGCTGGGGATCTTCCCCAAAGAATTAAAAGAATCATACCACAGTGATATATGTGCACCCATGTTCATAGCAGTGCAGTTTGTAATAGCTAAAACTTGGAAACAGCCCAAATGCCCATCAACTGGAGACTGGATAAAGAAAATGTGGGTTTTTTATAAAATGGAGTCCTACTCAGCCATAAAAAATGAGAAATTAGAGACATTTACAGCTAAGTGGATGCACATTGAGGCGATACTCTTAAGTGAAATAAATAGGAAACACATGTGTAAATACCGAATAGTTTCTCTGGTGTGAGAAACTGAAAGTGTAAATAAGGACTAAAAGGTATAATAGGTAATGTGAAATAGGAAGAAAAGGGACAAAGGGGAAGGAAGTGGGTGGGCTATGGGAAAGGATAGAAGGGAATGGGATTAATATGAGAAAATGGAAAAATAGGAACAAAATCTTTGTAAATAGGGAGGAATGGAGGGGTTGAAGGGAGGGCTGGGCAAGGGTGAAAAATAAGAACCAAGAGAGACTATGTAAAGGTGCAAATTTCCAATGACGAATGTCATTATATTGTATACCTAAAATGTACCAATGATTAGAATGAATAATCGATAATGTAAAATAGGAAGAAAAGGTCCAAAGAGGTAGCGGTAGTGGGAGGGCCGGGGAAAGGAAATAAGGGAAAGGAAAAATGATGAGAAATGGAAAAAATGGAAATAAAGCCTTTGTAAATAGAGAAGGGTGGAGGGCGTGAAGGGAGGGCTAGGAATGGGGAAAAAATAAGAACAAAGATGCATTACGTAAAGGTGCAATTCCCAATGAGAAATGTAATTGTGCTGTATACCTACAATGTACCAATAAAAGAATTTAATAAATAAATAAATAAAATAAAGTAAAAAAATCTAGTGTGCTTCAAAGGACACTATCAAAAGAGCGGAGACGCGGATGTGGCTCAGTGGTAGAAAACTTGCCCAGCATTCGTGAAATGCTAGGTTCAATCCCCAACACTGGAAATAATTTTTTAAAAGTAGAAAGCCCACAGAACAAGAGAAAACATGTACAAACCATATATTTGATTTTGTGTGTGTGTGTCATACCGGTGATCGAACTCAGGACCTTGTGCTTGCAAGGCAGGTGCAGTGCCAGTGAGCTAAATCCCCAGCCCTACAAACCATATATTTGATAAGAGACTTGCATACAGAACACTTACAGCTCAATAATATGAGCAACTCAAAATAGACAAAAGATGTGGACAGTTCTTCAGAGAAGATACACGAATGGCCAACAGACACATGAAAAGATGCCCACATCATTAGCCATCAGGGAAACATAAACCCACAATGATATATTGTTTCATATTCATTAGGTTGGCTATAATCAAAATGTCAGATAACAACAAGTGTTGGCAAGGATGTGAAAAGCTGGAGCCCTTGTGCACTACTAATGGTAAAGCGGCACGGCCACTGTGTTAAGAGTCTGACAGTTCCTCAAATGCTCAAACATACAACTGTCTCATGTCCCACAACTCCTCTGCTAGATATATATACCCCTAGGGGAGTGAAAATATATGTCCACGTAAAAACTTTGCATGAATTCTAGCTATGTTATCCATAACAGCCAAAAAGTAGAAAACATCTAAATGTCTATCAAGTGATGAATGCATAAACAAAATGTGGTATGTTCATACAATGAATATTGCTTGGCCATACAAAGGACTGAAGTACTGATACATGCAATAACTCAAGTGAACCTTGAAAACATTATATTGTACCAAAGAAACCAGTCACGAAAGACCACTTCTTGCATGATCCCATTTATATAAAGCGTCCAGAATGGACAAAGTCATACAGAAGAAGGTAATTTAGTGGCTGCCTGAGTACCAGTGTGACTGTTGATCCTGATATGTCAACTTCACTGGATTAAGAAATGCCTATCAAATTAGTAGATACACACCTGGGTGTGTCTGGGCAGCAGGGAAATGTGAAGGCGTGGTTTTGGGTACTATTTATGGTCCCTCACCTGTGCATCTCTGGTGTTGCTCCCCTGCTGTACTTCCCAGATACCATGACCTGAAAACCTTTGTTCACCACACTCTTCTGCCATGACCTTCCTGCCTTGAAGACTACA